TTTTCTGAAATTAAGCAGACCAATTCTATGATGAAACCCCCTATAAATTTGGTTATTGTATAATGTCTTCTCGTTTTGCATCATAAATTATGTGAAGTACCACTTTTCCTAAAATAATGAAAAGGATTCAAACAGGGGAAAAGGTATTCTGCAATAAAACCTTTATTTTCATTTCCTTAAATCAATATTGGAAAAACTCCTGTATTTAAATTTAATCTGGTAGGATATTATAAAGAAAAGTATAAAACTTTATCCTGGACTTGCACACTTCCATCCTGAACTATTTATTTTGAGCTTTTAAAATGCTCAATTCCTTTAAGTCATTGGCAAAATTACAATGTGTATACACAGACCACTAGGCAATGCATCTCGATGGTTCGTCTTCTGATAAATGGGCAGAACTTTTCCTGAGTGTATGTGACATAGACTAGGTTGTTGTGCAACTTTAACATGCCAGTTGTTTAAAGTAAGAAATCTACTCACTGGATAAAAAAGTGAAAGAATATACTATATAAGCAGGCAGAAGGTGAGACAGAGATTAGATGGGTCATACTAGATTTAGTCTCCTAAGGGCAGGGGTTAGAGTTTTGTGCTTCTCACAATAGCTGTGCATTATCTACTTGAAAGTAACAAGGTAAATAAGAACCAAGACAGAATAAGTAAAGGTGCAAATTGCCAGTGGTGAATGTCATCACATTGTGTACCTTAGGGCTGGGAATTTAGCTCAGAGGTTCTGTTGCCTGCCTTGCAAGCATAAGGACCTGAGTTCGATCCCTGGTGCCAAAGAAAATAAAGAAAGAAAAAGAAAAGAAAAAAATTGTATACCTTAAATGTACCCATAAAATTAATTAGTAAAAAAGTGAAATGAGGTAATAAATGTAAAAACAACTTTTTTAATGCTTGTTCAATGAATACTTGTTGAACCTTCCTCAAAATTATTTAATTATGTATCAAATTGCCAGACAGAAAAAAAGAATATATCTTTTGTCAGATATTTTCAGACATGAATCCCATATTCTTTTTTTCCCCAAAACCTTTAAAACAAGCTGCATTCTGACTTGATATTTTAAAATATTCCTTTAATTAAGTGTTTTCCATGCTTTAGTATGCACTAAAAAAAAAAAAAGAAAAGAAAGGAAAGAAAGTAACAAGGTAGTTTTTTCAGACAATTTCACACAGGTCAGCTACCATTTGATTCTCAAATGAAAATGATCAGAAATGTTAGGGTTGTTCAGGTAAGGCTAGCTGCTACAGCAAAATCCAATATTTTAGCAGCTGCTTTTCTAAAAGTGAATCACTTATCCACTTATGAGGGCCAGCAAATGCCATTTAGGGAGACCTCTATGCTACAAGAATCATTCAGAAATACATGACTTTCAGAGTCACCTCTGTATCTGGGCAGAAAAAAGAAGTGAGGATAATGCAAAGGAGATGTTTTTAAGTCCCCATCTCATTCCTACAGTTCATGAGTCTACTTATGTCCTATTGGGTATAACTCAGTCACATGTTCACATCTAAGAACCACGAAGGCTGGGAAGTGTTGTCTCTTAGAAAATAGAAGAAGGAGGAAGAGGAGGAGGAGGGAACATGTTTCATGAAAATCCAGTTTCTGCTGCAGTAAAAATTACTAGCATTTTATTACTGTCAAAATTGAGGTTGGACATCTGTCACTTTCTCTGAAATTTTAAAATAACACTTAATTGCATTTTTGTCTCCCTATCCATTGTTTTGTTTCTCGCTGTTATCTGCAACATATCCTATTAATCATCCTCTAGTGACCGGCTGCACTTACTGCACGTAATAAGTTTTATTTTGAAGTGTATATCACACCCAAGAAAAAGGAAAATTAGTAACACCGCACGGCACGCATAAACATCGAGTTAAATATTTTTATGAAACATAACTTTTTACTACTTTTTTCGATAAAAATACAGGGCTTTTTTCTAAGCAATTTAAAACCTTAATTATGATCAAAATTCTTAATAATGTAATTAATGATACTGAGATGAATTTTTTTATTGGCAAGACAGCCACCTTTATTTTTAAGCCATGATAGTCAATCTGACCATAAACCACTAAGAAAATTTTGGTAAAGAGCAACATTTTGGAGGAAATGATATGAATATAGATCAATTGTAGCCTTGATGATGGCTATGGAGACACTCGGGAAAGCTATTTTTTGGCAGTTTCCTCTAGCAGCCCCATGTGTTGGTCATTTTATTCTTGTGACAAGAAGAGAAGCCTTCCAATGTGAACTGTGGCTAGGCTGCATGAATCTACTCCCTCCTAAAAGTTGAACTGTACATATTGCGACTATAAAATGGAAAACTTAATTTTTTGAGATTTGTGCGTGTGTGTGTGTGTGTGTGTGTGTGTGTGTGCACGCTCGTGCAGGGCAATTCCTATAAACTATGCTTTTTTTAAAAAATAATTTTGGTGGAAAGAAAATTTTCCTCCACTGATCCAAATTAGGAACAAGACATGTCACTATTGTGTTAGGCCCCTTTCCATCACTTTGACAAAATCCTTGAGATAATCAACTGATAAGAAGGACAGGCTCATTTGGGCTCATGATGTCAGGTGTTGTTTTCCTCTGCAAGCAGGGTTCAGGGGGCCCGGACAAGGAGGGTAAGGCACGGAATCACCACGCAGACTCTGGGGAGGTTTCTGGAACACTTCCGCTTTATTCAGCAAAGGCACAGGCTTATATAGGGTAAGGTGGGGGTGGAGCCAGGGTGGAGTCGGGACACTTGGCACATTGTTACTGGCCACATGTTAGTTTTTGGATTGTATGTTTTAGGGGCGGAGGCTAACAAGTCTGGACTTTAGAGGTTTTTGAGAGGAACAGTTTATCTGTCTAAGGTCAGATATCTACACACCCACGGGGGTGGATTATTCCAGCCCTAATAGGCCTCAGAGTTTTCTCGGGAGAGACGGGTGCGGCACTGTTGACTCAGCCAGACATTGATCCTCAGTCAGGGGTTTCAGCTCAAAATCACTTGGCCCCATTGCCTTTTGGGCCTGGGGCAAGGCAGTAGTACACAATGGCAGGAAGTGTATGGGCAAAGCCATTCACCTCGTGGCAGATAGGAAGCAAAAAGAGAAACAGGAAGGCACCAGTACTGATACCCACTTCCGAGGCATATCACCAGTGACCCATCTTCTTTTCACTAGACCCCATCAACTCCCTGTAGCAGTGTAGGCTGGGGTCACACCTTCAACATATGGGCCTTCGGAGGACATTCAAGAGCAATATACCTCCTTCTAACCCTCATAATTTCTCTCCTCCCCCAAGAAATACAATTAAGAGGATCAGAACATCTGTCCCGTTGGAAAGTCACCAACAGGTATCAATCAAAGTTAGGCTGCGGGTCACAAACCTCACCTCAGTCATCCTTGGCTCCCTAGGATAACAAAAATATCTCAACTCCAAGGACAGAGCAGGTTATAGGGGGTCAGATAGGCATTGGTCAGTACCGCATGTATATAGACTAAAGAGGTAGCAAAAGGGCTTTGGCTTGAGCTCTGTCTATGGGTGTCTTCAGACCTGTCTCCCTGAAATAAAGTTTCAAAGTAAGCCTGCCTCCAAAGGGGTATCTCTCATGTAGGCAGGTATAAAACAGTGGTAGTGAAGATTAAAGCACTCTGGATTTGAGACTCAGATAATCCTGGGTTCTAATCCAGGCACCGTGGAACCTGGTATAAAGTTACTGTGAAAATTAAATTGAAGTAATTATATACAGAGTGAAAAAAGACGTAAAACTTGTCCGAATCAGAATGGAGTCACTTGTGTCCATCCTAACAACAACAAAAGTAAATAAAGCCAGTGATGATGACAGAAGGGTTCTTATGCATAACTTCCTGATGGTAACTACCACAAAAGACTACCAAAACCACCCCGGTATGGACAGAGACCATTGTAACCTTACACAAAAAGTACTTCTACTCGAAGACTGTGTGTGTGCGTCCAACCAAGCTCAGACTGAGGCCACTCCTTATTAATCGCTGTGGCCAAAGATTATTGTTTCAAACTACCTGATGCAGTCCTCCTAATTTTTGTTTTGCCTCAAGCTCTTTGAATCTGACCATAACTCACTATGGTGTTGATACGCTCATCTCCGTGCTGTGCCGGTCCTTTCACAGTGCTGTGCTACTCCCGAATAAATATCCTATCTTTGTAACCCGTGGCATAATTCCTCCTTGTTTAATTTACATTGACACGTGTAACAGGAGCTCAAGAATTGATAGCTTTTATTATTCTTCATGATTTGGGGAAATCTGCCTAATCAGGATATCTTAAATATTGACCGGAGGGCCGAGGATTTAGCTCAGTGATTCCACTGCCTGTCTGGCAAGCCCAAGGTCCTGAGTTCGATCGCCCTGTACAAAAACAAAACAAAACAAAACAAAAAAAAACACGGAGGGAGGAGTGATACATTCTGTTTATCAGCGGAAGACAGTTTAAAGGAACTAGAGTATGTTTACATAATCCTGCCCAGTAAGGCCCTGGAAGAAGGAACTAAATCCACAGCAGAGGGTGAAGGTCAGGAGAGACAAATTTGGCTTCTTATCAGGAAGCATTCGGGGCAGATTAGAGCGGTTCAAAAAATAGCATGAGCCCCGGGGTGAGGGGCGGGGGAGAGCAGTACTTCGATCCAGGCTATGCAAGACCAGAAGAGACCTTGGTGGAGGCATCCGGGACAGCATTTCAAGGATTTTTGAGTTTCTAGCCAATGTCATGGACCAGAGAGGGTTACCAAAAGAAACAAGGGGTCCAAGTGGATAAAAGAAAACAGCCTTCCCAGCCAGAGGCCAGCTTCTCCCCATCTTCCTCCAACATGAAGTTTGTGGGAAGAAAAATCCTCTCCTTTGCCTGAATTCTCTGGAGCTCAGCCTTCCCGCCGCTGCTGGAGGAAATTTGGTTGCTATGCGACGGAAGCGGTTGACCCCCCAAGAGCCCTAGCGGCTTGGGGGAGGGGCCAAATTTGTTGCGGAAGTGGGCGTGGCCTCGGTTGCTATGCAGCGGGGACGTTTAGGCAGGTCTTGAGCCCAGTTTCTAGACCAATGCTCCCGGCGTTTGCATGGCACCCAAGAAAGGGAAAAGCGGAGTTGCGAGCAGCAGTTCTAGGATATGGGAGCCTTCGCTCATAGCTACACACTTGAATCAGGTGAGCTGTGAGCCCCTTAAATCCTCTCTGCCCGGGGCAAAGCCCGAAGTCCCGTCAGACCCCCGGCAGGCAGACGCCACCTCCACCCTCTCTGTGAAAACTCAAAAGCTGTCGTAAGTGGTATACTCTCCCAGGTGGTTTTCGCTCACAAATGACCCAGGGTCCCCTGAGCAGGAGTGCTCGATAAATGAGTGTTGGCTAAGAGCAGGAAGGGAGAATCAGGGCGACTCCAAAGGGTGGTGACCCGGTGCTTGGTGGGGACAAGAGGAGGTGATGTGCTACAACCAGGGACTGTTCCCCAAAGTCCAGGGGGCACTCCGGTGCTGTACTACAGTTGTCCTTGGGAGCTATTTGCTTCCCCTTAACAACTTCTAAAGGATAGGAATCTTGTCATCGGTGGCCTAGCCCAATTTAAGACTTTTATAAATGTTGAGTGAAAAATACACGCGGAGAGCCTAAGACAGTGGCCTATAGAATGAGCCTTCTACAGCTAGGAAAGGATGACTTGTTTATAAAGTGTCCTGATGCCTCTATATCGAAATACTCTGAAGGTGTAGGAGACCAGAGCAAAGAGGGGCTGGCTGTCTCTGCGGAGTTGCCACCAATGCCCAAGATTTCACATACAAGGGATCCCAGAACTGACAAGCTCCTGCCCGCCTTCAGCAAGTGCAGGGCACAGTAGGCCTTGTTGCTTACACGTGGCAATCCACTTCTTCACTGTGCTTTTTCTAAGTCAAATAGACATTTGGGAAGAGCAAATTACAGCCTGCCATTACCAACTACTTTTAAAAATGGAAAATTTTTTTTTTAATTTTATACATGTGCATATGGTACACTAGAGAGTTTGAGCTTAAAGAAAAAATGGATCTGAAGTCTTGCGTCACCCTTATGAGAACATTTTCACCTTTTTATTCTTATTTTTCATTATAATTCCTCTTTCTCTATGGATGGCAATTTTCTCTGACACAGAAACTGATCCTGACAAAGAATTTCGTGAACATAGTTCTGATACTACTGACATCAATATGACATGGAAAGTTGGATCTGTCCTATAACTTTAAAAATGAAGGATGTCAACCCAGTAATCCTCAGTTACATTCTCAAATTCTCAAAGACATTTTTTCAAAGCACTTTGTAAAAGCACTCTCTCTTTTGCTTTTCTAAGACAGAACTAGCCCATGCAATTTTCTCTCCATTTTCTTTGAGACTAGGTAGGCCAAGGAGGGCTTTGAATGAACATTTCTGCTTGAATTATAAACTGCTGAACAACGGAGTCTGACGGAGGTGCTGACACTGCATTAGCTTTAGTGTTGCAAATGTGAAACTATAATTTTCCTAGTCGAGTGGAAAACCTAAAGGCACTGTTTTTTTCTTATGGCCTGAAAACCTGAAATAACATTCAGCTGTCTTGATTCTGCTCAAACAATATCATTTCAATAAATCTTCTGTACTCACAGAAAGAATTTGAATAAAGTAATAAGTATTTTTAACTACAAAGAGTGAAATCAACTTCTTTCGGTTTGTTGCAGTACATGCTTTCGTCTTGCAAGAAGACAATTGCGGTCCATCTCCTCCCATATTTTTTCCTTAGCTTGGTTTTGTATCTGATTCAAAAGGAAAATTTGCTCTTTAACCCCATAGCGCAGTGCTCAGAAGCATACCCTAACCAGCAGTTTAACCAACTCTGAGTTCAGCTTGAGTAAGACTATGGATGTTTGAATTATTTATTTATAGGATTTAGCAAAGTGCTTTGCACAATGTGTGTGTTCAGAAAATGTTATTGTTTAGTTCCTAGATAGTTGCTTTCCAACTATTTTGAGTGCTTGAGTAAGTAAAAGGTGCTGTGTGTATTGTATGTGTTGGAGGTAAGAAAGAAGCAAGTAATTCCTCCAGCCTTCTGTAAGCCAGTTTACAGGGTTAATTCAATGAAGAATTACCAAATGAATGGTAGTTTAAATTCATATTCACAATCAGCTATACTAGACTTTAAAAAGAATAAACACGCTCACTATTTGGACCGTCTTTCAGGATGGAGTATTCAACTTTAATGCAATTTATTTGGTTTGTAAACAATAGCAAATATAATAAATAGCAAATATAATAAAAAATAAAAAGCAACCTGTTAATAAGAACTAAATGATTAGATAGAGATCAGAGGTTAGGAAAAACAGTAACAACTGGTATAGTCAGGAAATGCTTTGCACAATTTTATTTTTAACCGGGTCCTAAAAATGGGTAGAACTTGAACAGGTAAAGTAAAGGAGGAAAATTTCTTAGGCAAGGACACCAATATCTTCCTCAAATAAATTTGGAATATTTAGATTGAAGGAAAGAAGTAGGTTAGACCACTCTGGATATTAATTGCTTCTGAATTAATTCTGTCAGTTAATAGTCATTTACTGTTTTTGGTATTTCCATATATCAAAACACTTAGCTTATTAAAATAGGTGGAAGGTTGTCCCTCAAATTAGATAAAAAATAATATATTTAGGTATACTGGCAATAAGATCGTAAAAATAGACATTAATATATGCACACATGTGATACATTGTATGTGTGATCTCAAGCAGTATTAGGAAGTCAAAGGTGCTTTGATATAGTATCGGTTTATGATTGTGGTTTTGCTTTCTGTAATTTCAGTTACCCTCGTCTGTCAGCCACAGTCTAAAAATGTTAAATAGAAAATTTCAGGAATAAAAGCTCATAAATTTAAGTGACACTGATGTTATGAGCAGTGTGATAGAAGCATGCACCAGCCTGATCCATCACACCTGGGAAATAAATATGTTTGTCTAGCACATCCGTGCTGTGTGTGCTACTTTTCCATTAGTCACTTAGTAGCCATGTCTGTTACCAAATAGATACCAAACTGTGTGGTATCACAGTTCTGGTGCAGTGCACACGAGTTTCTATTTCTCCACGTTTGGCTATTATTCTACTTAATAACCCCAAAGTGCACCTGTAGTGATGCTGGTAATTCAGACATGTCAGAGACGCTGCAAGTTGCCTCCTGGAAGTGAAAAGGTGAAAGCGCTTGACTCAATAAGGAAGGGGGAAAAGAATCATACAAAGGTTGAAAAACCTACTTTAAGAATGAGTATTTTGTGTAATTGTGAAAAAGGAAAAGAATTTTGGATTTGTTTTAGTATCTTACTTCCAACTGCAAAAGTTATGATCACAGTGCATAGAGAGTGCTTAGTTAAGATAAAAAAGGCATGAAATTATCGGACTCAGTCCTATCTACAGTTTCAGGTATCTGCTGCGGACTTCGAATATATCTTCCCATGCAGTTGTGAGATAAACTGTGCTGGCCACAGAGAAAAGAAGAGGGGTTAACATAAGCTGTCAGTACTCATTAAACAATATCAACACCCTATCCCTTCTCTCCAGCTGTCTTCCTCTGTTCTCTGATTCTATGACAAAACACCTGAGACTGGGTGGCTTATAAAGACCTCAAATGTACTTCTTACAGATCTGAATGCTCATAAGTGAAGGAACATGGTGCTGTTGTCCGTCAAGGACTTTCTGGCTGTGTCATAACATGGCGGAGTGCACCACAGAGCAAGGAAACACGTGACAGACAGAACAATGTAGCTGACCTCTTTTTATGAGGACCATCCCCATAATAACTAACCCACTCTTCCATCCATTCATAAAAGTAGTGCATTCACGACCTAATCACCTCTTAGGGTAATTAAATTTCACCGTGAATTTTGGAGGGAGCCATGCAAAGCATAGCCCCAGCCGCTGTACTGCGTTCTGCCTATACATTTGACTAGTGAGGGTACTGTATGCAAGTGCAATCATACATATTTGCCTTTTTGTGACTAGCTTATTTCACTTAACATGATGTCCTCAAGATTTATTCATTCTGTCGTATGTGTTGGAATTTCCGTATTTGTCAAGGCTGAATAATTTTCCATTATGTGTATATACCACATTTTATTTGACCGTTTGAGTGTCCACTGATAGACACTGGCTCCCTCTTGGCTATTATAAATACTGCTGTTTTTGACACGGTTTTATAAAACTCTGCTGTAGCCCCTGCTTTCAGTTCTACAGGGTATATTTGCAGGTGTTACTAGATGGATTATACCTTAATTCTACATTTAAGTATTTGAGGAGTCACAATTGATTACATTTTAATTTTCCTCCAGAAATTCATGAAGGTTCAAATTTCTCCACAATGTTTTCACAACTTCTGATGTTTTGCTGTTTTCTTTTTTGGTGGATTTTTTGTTTTTGTTTTAATAATCATCCTACTATCTGTGATATGATGTTTCCTCTTTTGATTTTTACTTTCCTAATGATTAGTGGTATTGAGTGTCCTTCTTAGTAACCATTTGTTTATCTTCTTTTGCTTTTGATCATTTTTAAATTGATTCATTTGGTTACTATTGAGTTGTAAATATTTGTGTGTGTGTTCAATATTAACCAGTGTCAGACATATAAAGTACAAATATTTTCTACTATTCTAAAGGTTACCTGTCATTTCAATGGCAGTCCCTTTTAATGTAAATTTTTCATTTTAGAAGCCCAGTTTACCTGTTTTTTCTCATATTCCCTATGTCCTTAGTATTATATCCAAGAAGTCATTACCAAATCCAATATTTTCTGTTTTTTAAGAGAAATCTGTTACAGCTAAGTCTCTGATCCATTTCGAGAAATTTTTTTAAATTTGTTGTGAGATTTAGGTCTCTCTTCAATCTCTTCTGTTTTCCCCAGTGCCATTTTAGAAGGCTATTCTTTCTATATTGAACTGTCTTGGCATCCTTGTCAAAAAGCATTGACCCTACAGTATAAGGAAGTGACTACTTTTGGGCTCTCTATTCTGTCTATGATGCTAGTTTTAGGTCTTTTAAACATGGCAGTTATTATGTTGAAATTGTTTTCTTTTATGCCTAGTTTGTTGAGTATTATTTGAAAGGATATTGGGTTTTCTCCAATGAGTTCTTTTTTTCTTATCAATTGAAATGATGATCATGTGGGATTTTCGCTTT